CAGTGGTTAGCACTGCTGCCTCACAGCACCAGGGACCCAGGTTCAATTCCAGCCTTGGCCAACTGTCTGCGTGGAGTTTGCACGTTCTTCCTGTGTCTGCTTGGGTTTCCTCTGCGTGCTCTGGTTTGCTCCCACAGTCCAAAGATGTGCAGGTGAGGTGGGTTGGCCATAGTGTCCAGGGATATGCAGGTTAGCCATGGGAAATACAGGGTTCCTAGGATAGGGAGGGTGAGTCTGGGTGGAATGCTCTTCAGAGAGTCAGTGTGGACTTGCTGGACTGAATGGGCCATTGCCACACTGTAGGGATTTCATGATCTACAATTATAAAAGTTTAAAGGATATGGGCCAGATGCAGGCAAGTGGGAATAATTCAGTTTAAGAAACCTGGTCAGCATGGACGAGTTGGGCGGAAGGGCCTGTTTCCATGCTGTATGACTCTATAACTGAGAGAATGGGTAGGTTGAGGATTTCACTAAGTTTGACTCTTTGACAGTCATTAGGAGAGATATCAATTATAATGATAAACTCCCAGTTTCCCTATCTTCCATGTGCATACACAAGTGAGTCTCCCTCACAGAATATGAAGGTGTTTTGTATCTGCATCCCTCCAAACCATTGTCTGTAGGTCCAACCCTAAAAATTACAAGTCAGGCACTGTGAACAGTACTCTGCTCAGAAACATGTCAGGAATAATAACTCAAAGGTCAACACATGCACCAGAGGTTACACAGAATAGTGATTTCTGATGTAAATGAATGGCATGATCTGCTTGAGACAGGACTCTGCTGTGGGTGATTAAAGGATGTTTCGCTGCTCTTGAGGCCAGTGCATGAGCCTTGTTGTCTGCAAACAATTAAGTGCTGCTACTTCTGCAGGCTGGTGCATTAGCTTTTTCCCTCTGCGTTACAGATTTCAAACGGCTGATTTTCCACCTCCTTCTAAACCTGCTGTTTGCTGTCTGCCCCCCTAGGAAATTGACGAGTACATCAGCCAAGCCAGAGATCGCAGTTATGAAACGATGATGCGGTTTGGGAAACGTGGACTCAATCTCGCCGCTAACGCTGCGGTGACAGCGGCAGCGAAGGTGCGTTCTGGTTCACTTCGCTTGGGAATTGTTTCGTTATTGGGCACCACTTTCGCCTTGGGACGCCTTGCCAAATCTCCCAAATTCTGACCACTGGGAATGAATGAATTCTGAGTATTCTCACAGCAAGTGTTCACCCCTGTCTCCAGCAGAGAAATGTTACAGACTAGGGCTGTGTCAAGTCACTTTAAGTTCCACACTGGTTTCCAGATGGGGCCTTGGATAACTGAAACATAACATCCTTAACTCTTCTAGAAATTGCTGGAGAAGCTCAGCAGGTCTGACAGCATTTGTGGAGAGAAATCAGAGTCACTTTGGGTTAAGTGACACTTCCTCAGATGGTTCTGAGGAAGGGTCACTGGACCTGAAACATTGACTCTGCTTTCTCCCCACAGATGCTGCCAGACCTGCTGAGCTTTTCCAGCAATTTCTGTTTTTGTTTCTGATTTCCAGCATCCACAGTTCTTTCACTTTTATCCTTACGTTTCTGTTCCATTCCTGTCATAATGAAGAACAGCATCTCCATAGCCTTCTTGATTATGTCATTGCATTCTAACCTCTTGAGACTCATGCTGTAGATCATCTAACTCCCTAAGTTATTCTCCATTTAAACAATACTAGACTTTTTCATTCTTCCTGCCAAATTGGGCAATTTCACATTTTCCCACATTAAACTCTGTCTGCCAATTTTTGCCCACTTATTCAATGTATCCATATTTGTCTGCAACTTCCTTACATCTTCTTCACAAGACATTTTCCTACCTATCTAGATGTCAGTTGTGCATTTAGCAACTATGCCTTTGCTCTCCTCATCTAAGCCACTGATATACATTGTAAAAGGTTGAGCCTCCAGCACAGACCCCTGAGGTACTTCACCTATCACATCTTGCCAACAAGACAAAGGCCCATTTATAAAACTGCCTGTTTTCTGCCAGCCAGCTAAACTTCTATCCATGCTAGTATATTATCCTTTACAACATGGGCTTTGATTTTCTGCAGTGCCTTTTGGAAATCCAAGTACAGTGTGTTTACCAGTTCTCCTTTAACCACAGCATGTTACTTCTTCAAATAACTTGAATAAACTTGTAAACATGATCTGCCTTTGACAAAAGGATGCTGACTCTTCCTGATCACTTTGAATTTTCCGAAATTGGCAGTGGCAACATCTTTACTGATTGACTCTAACACTTTCCCTATTACTGACATCAAGCTAACGTGCCTATAATTTCCTGTTTTCTCCCTTCATCCTTTCTTGAATAGAAGGGTTGTATTTAGAATCATTGAATCCCTATGGTGTGGAAGCAGGCCATTCAGCCCATACTGACTCTCCAAAGACCCACCACCACCAACCCCCACCCTATCCCTAATCCATTTAACCTGCATATCTTTGAACTGTGGGAAGAAACTGGAGTACCTGGAGAAAACCCACACAGATGCAGGGAAAATGTCCACACAGCCAGCCACCCAAAGGTGGAATCGAACCCAGGTCTTTGGTGCTGTGATGCAGCAGTGCTAACCACTGAGCCACTGTGCCACCCCATTTCTCATTTGCCAATCAAACAGAACCTTTCCTGAATCTAGAGATGTTTTGGAACAATAACACTAAAGTATTTACTGCCTCATTAGCCCCTCTTCTAAGATCACAGGATGGAACCCATCTGAAACCAGGCACTTGTCACACCATCAGTTTGTTTCACACCATTACCGTGGCGATAATAATTTCATTACATTTCACTCTCCCTTCCACCTACTGGTGTATAGCAATTAACTGGAATTTTTTTGTATTATCTATAGCGAAGGTAGAAACAAAATATTTATCAGCCATTTCCTTGTTATCTACAATTGACTCCCCATCCTCACCCCCCAGAGGACCAACACTCACTTTACTAAACCTCTTCTTTTTAAATAGAAATTCTTGTAGAAACTCTCACTGTCTGTTTTCACATTTGTAGCTAGCTTCCTCTCAAACTCGAAATTTTTTGTCATGATTAACCTTTCAGTCATTCTCTGCCAATCATCTGACCTGTCAGTTATCTTTGCACAGTTATGTGCTTTTCCATGTTGTTTGTTGCTTTCCCTAACTTGTTTAGCTTCTGCGACAGACAAGAATAAACTGTTATTGCTGTTCCCCTCTGCATTCCTTGAATGTTTGCCATTGCTTATTCACTGTCATCCTTTTAAGTAACTCTCCTCAATCTATCAAGGCCAATTCATGCCTCATGTCCTCGTAGTTTCCTTTATTAAGGTTCAGCACCCTAGTCTCTGAATCAACAACCTCGCTCTCCATCTTGATAAAAATTTCTATTATGTTATGGTCACTCTTCCCCAAGGGGTCTCGCGCAGCTAGATTCGCAATGATTCCCTTCTCATTACACAGTACCCTGTCTAAGATGGCCTGCTCTTTTGATGGTTCCTCCACATATTGGTCAAGAAAACCGTCCCCTGTACACTCTACGGCACTGTGGCTAATTTGATTTGTCCAATCTATGTGCAGATTAAAATTACCCATGATCACCGATATTCCCTTATCACATACATCTCTAATTTCCTGTTTAATGCCATTCCCAACATCACCACTGCAGTTTGGGGGTCTATATATGATACTTACTAATGATTTTTGGCCCTTGGTATTTCTCAACTCTACCCATATAGACTCCACATTGTCAGAGCTAATATCTTTTCTCACTCTTGTGTTAATTTCCTCTTTAACCAGCAATGCTGCTTAACCACCTTTTCCTTTTTTCCTGTCCTTTCCAAATACTAAATACTCTGGAACATTCAGTTCCCATCCCTGGTCACCTTGCAGTCATGTCTCTGTAATCCCAATTATATCGTACCCATTTACATCTATCTGCACGATTAGTTCATCCACTTTATTGCAGATGCTCCGCACATTAAGGCACAAAGCCTTTAAGTTTGTCATTTTAACAGTGTTTGTCTCCTCCTTATTTTTCTCAATAGCCCTGTTTGACTCTTGTCCTTGGTTTCTCAGCCTATCACTTTTCTTATTCTCTTTTCTAGCTTTTGTTTTTTGTCCTTGCTGCCTTCTTCTCTGACTCTTTACATGAGTCCCCATCCCCCTGACATATTAGTTTAAACCCTCCCCAACCGCTGTAGCAAACATAGTCCTGCCCAGGTGTAACCCATCCAATTTTTACAGCTCCCACCTTCCCCCAGGGCCAGTCCCAACTGTCCTGTCTGTCGGAAAAGCAAAATGGGAAACAGGGCCAATCCATGGTTTACAAAGGAAATGAGAGATTGTATCCAATCCAAGGAAGAAGCATACAGATTAACCAAGAAAAATAATAAACCTGAGGATTGGGAGCAGTTTAGAATTCAGCAAAGAAGGACCAAGGGATTGATTAAGAAGGGGAAAATAGAATATGAAAGTAAGTTTGCAGGGTTCATAAAGACTGACGCTAAGAGTTTCTATCGGTACGTGAAGAGAAAGAGATTTGTAAAGACAAATGTAGGTCCCCTACAGACAGAAATGAGGGAATGTATAATAGGGGACAAAGAAACGACTGAGGAACTGAATACATACTTTGGTTCTGTCTTCACAAAAGAGGACACAAATCAATACCAGGATTGTTGGATAATGCAAGATTTAATGAGAGGGAAGAACTGAGGGAGATCAATCTTAGTAGAGAAATGATGCTGGGAAAATTGTTGGGATTGAAGGCCGATAAATCCCCAGGGCCTGATAATCTACATCCCAGAGTACTTAGGGAAGTAGCTCTAGAAATAGTGGATGCAGTGGTGGTCATCTCCAAGGATTCTATAGACCCTGGAACAGTCCCTACAGATTGGAGGGTGGCTAATGTCACTCCAATATTCAAAAGGGGAGGTAGAGAGAAAACAGAGAATTATAGACTGGCGAGCCTAACATTGGTTGTAGGGAAAATTCTTGAATCCGTTGTCAAAGATTTTATAGCAGAGCATTTAGAAAGCAGTGGCAGGATCAGACAGAGTCAGCCTGGATTTATGAAGGGAAATCATGCGTGATAAATCTGTTGGAATTCTATAAAGATGTAACTAGTGGAGTTGACAAGGGGGAGCCAGTTGATGTAGTATATTTGGACTTTCAGAAAGTGTTTGACAAAGTCCCACATAAGAGATTAATGTGCAAGATTAAAGTGCATGGGTTTGGGGGAAGTGTATTGAAGTGGATAGAAAACTGGTTGGCAGAGAGGAAACAAAGAGTAGGAATTAATGGGTCCTTTTCAAATTGGCAGGCAGTATCTTGTGGGGTGCCACAGGGATCGGTGCTGGGACCCCAGCTATTCACAATATATATGAATGATTTGGATGAGGGAACAAAATGTAACATCCCCAATTTTGCAGACGATACTAAGTTGGGTGGGAGGGTGAACTGTGACGAGGATGTACAGATCCTTCAGCATGATCTTGACAGATTGGGTGAGAGGGCAAATCAATGGCTGATGCAGGATAATTTGGATAAATGTGAATGTATTCACTTCAGAAGCAAAAACAAGAAGGCAGGTCACTACCTGAATGGCTGTAAATTGGGAGAGGGGTGTGCGCAGTGGGACCTGGGTGTCCTTGTGCACCAATCGCTGAAGGTAAGCATGCAGGTGCAGCAGGTGGTGAAGGAGGTAAATGGTATGTTGGCCTTCATTGCGAGAGGTTTCAAGTACAGGCGCAGGGATGTGTTGGTGCAGTTATACTTGGTGAGACCGCACCTGGAATATTGTGTGCAGTTTTGGTCTCCTTTTATGAGGAAGGATGCTCTCGCTCTCAAGGGAGTGCAGTGAAGGTTTACCAGGCTGATTCCGGGGATGGCGAGTCTGATGTATGAGGAGAGATTGACTCGGTTGGAATTGATTTTGCTGGAGTTCAGATGAATGAGGGAGGAATCTCATAGAGACTTATAAAATTCTAACAGGACTGGACAGGGTAGATGCAGGGAGGATGTTCCCGATGGTGGGTGTGTCCAGAACCAGGGATCACAGTCTGAGGATTCGGGGTAGACCATTTAG